TGTACCTATTTACATTGAGACTCCTATTCTGCTGAAACTTATAAATTTGAGTAAATTTACACATGTGCCTAAGTGTTAGTAGAATTAAGCCCATAGATTCTAAACTCTCTGGTGGCCTTTTCTGTAAAGTACTAGTACAATGTTAGCACAATAGAAGTACAGAAAAGGATTACCCAGTTACCACAAACACTGACCAAATTAAATAGTTATTTTTGATGTTCAAAGACTATTTTTAAAGAAAATTTTAATGAAATTTCAGTAAATACAATCATAAAACAGTAAAGGGTACCTACAGTACAAGAGGTATAATCAGTAAAAGCTAGTAAAATTAAAGTATACAATGAATAATGAAGCTTATCTTAAAAAAAAAAACCCTGAATTTTAATATTGCTGAAAGTTCTGATGAAGTGGGTTTTAGCCCACGAAAGATTATGCCCAAATAAATGCATTAGTCTCTAAGGTGCCACAAGGACTCCTCATTGTTTTTGCTGATACAGACTAACAGGGTTACCACTCTGAAACCTTTAATTATGTTGTAACTTTGGGGGTGGCAAGATTTTATATTGTGTGTGTGTGTTCTTAAATACCTGCGAAAAAGTACTGTTAACACTTTTCAAATGGTATTCATAGATTCTAAGGCAAGAGGGAGCATGGTTGCCATCTAGTTTGGCCTTCTGCTGAACTGAGGCCACAGAACTTCCCCAAAATAATTCCTGTTTGAACTACAGTGTATCTTTTTAGAAAAACATTGTTTTGATTTAAAAATTCCCAGTGATGGAGAATCCATCACAACCCTTGATAAATTGTTCCAATCATTAATTTTTTTGGTGCATCTCTTCCGAGCAGCTAATTTTTTGTGAGAAAAATCTACTTCTAACCCAAAGAGATTCAGGCTAAGATTTCTGCTGAAATCATAAGCACCATTTCATTATCACTATCATACATTCGATATGTGGAGTTTTGTAGAGACAGTCAGTGATATTTGTTTTAAGCAAAATAAATAAATATTTAGATACGTACATAGAAAGTTGCAGTGTGTAGTGACTTTGACACATCGGTTTTGATTACTATGATGTGCAAATAAATTATCAGTGAATTCCAGGTGTGTTGGTAACTAGAGCAGAAATGTGTGTTCCAAACTGTTCAACGAAAGTAACTAATTTTTCACAATTCTTTAAGAGAAATTTTAACTCCATTCAGCTGCTACTGACAAATTCTCTTCAATCAGTAATATTTTTCTAAAAAAGGCTAAGCTCTTTAATGTAGGATCACCCAAAGTGTATCATGAAGCTTCCAAGATTTGTAAAGTTTTGTTCCATTGAAAAATTTGCAAATCAGTTTTTCAGATGAATAGCTGAAAACATATTTAACACAGGTAAATGAAAATAAGAATATTTTAAAGCTAATTGTAGCTTCCAGTTAAACAGAAGTGATTCAAAGTTCTTCAAGAAACAGTCAGATTTAGTATAAGATGGTTGCAAAGTAAAATAAAAAGTACAATTTCAGGTTATGCAAATGGTACATATTTTATTCTGAAATCTTTCATTCTGAATCCAAATTGAGAGATTATTTTTGCAAGCAAGATAAAATCTAAAAATATTTTCTAAAGCTTAATATAAAAATAAAGCCAACCTCACTGACTTGCATCAGTATCAGGGATGCAATGCAAATTAATGAATTCTGCAAATTCATGAATAAATATAATAAAGGAGAATACTTCATGGAATGTCCTTTGTTCACTTATTATGACAGTTATCACTATTTTTGATGTTTCATAATGTCTTTGTGAATGATCTTTCTATTTAAACAAAAATTGAGGTCATACATCAGTTCGCTACCTGTGTTGCTAAACCTTTGAAAGGTAGGGAGCTTTTTGTTTGTGCGCAGATTATAAAGTATATTGATGAACAAAGTTCTAGTGTACATTTAGGGCCTTGATTTCTTATCTCACTGACTTTTATTATTATTACTCTTATTTCTTTTAAAAGACCATAGGCTTTCCTCTGTTAACAATGGAAGCTGAGAGAATCTGAACAGAATGGTAGATAGGAGGGAGTTTGAAGCCATTTATTGTTGGAGGGGATATCTTCCACCACCTTCCTTTATTCAGCCAGTTGTGCAGTGATGTATGCGGTTTGCATTTAGAAAACTGGAACCACAGTACTCTTCTGAAGCTACATCTTAAACCCATTGCTGAGCGGCGCAGAACTGTGATGCAAAATGCTGTCGCTTCTGCAGTCGCAACTGCACCCAGCAAATGGGTAGAATTCTTGAAACTGATGCTGAAATACAGGCTGTGGCTGTTGAGTTAATGGGTTGACATACATTCCTAAAGAGCCATTAGGAATGGGAGAGCTGTGGCTTGTAATTAAAATGCATTTGATCAATTGCTAACCTTAAAAATGTATATACCCTGCAACTTGAATTGGGCTCAGTACATTGAGTGAAATGTTAGCTCTTCAGAATAGTGTGTGAGGAAATGGTCAGAGAATTAGTAGTACTGCTTAAATGGCTGTGTTTTACTGGAAGATTATAGAAATAATCAAAACTAGAAGTTTTAACCACTAAGGTTAAGAAGAATTTTATTTCTAGTATTGCAAATCTACATGTATAAGCTTGCTACTTTCTAAATTTTACTCTAGCAAAAATGTAGACAATGCACATTTCTTTGGCAACTGAGTGTATAAGTATAAATATGCCATAAAATATAGTCAATTGTTCAATTATGCAGGACCTAATATAGGGTTCCCACAGTCCTTGTATGGATGGCCCAAAGGTCCATAAAATAGCTTAATGAAGTTCTGTCATAAAGCGAACTTCAGTCATCATTCACCATTATAAAAAGTTGTGCAGAATGCTTTAAATGGAAGAATTGTTTTAAAATATACTCTTGGTGTATCAGGAGGAAATGCCCTAATCTCAACCCTGTGAACTTCTTAATTTTCATTTCACTGCTGCGATAATCATTATAATTTGGAGACTGAGTAGGTGAGGGTTTTTTTTAAACAAAGGGCTTGGACAACTACTTAGTTCAACTCTCATCATTTAAACATTTCTATTTTAAAATTCATATAAAGTTTTAAAAGTAAAATATTACCTTTCAGTAGCTTTTTCCTTTTGTTGTGTGTCATTTATTTAAAAAAAAAAAAAAGTACCCAAGAGATAGTTTTAAAACAGTGACTCGTACTGACCAACGAGTCATTCGGGAGAACTTCTGCCGCAAACTAACAGCTGGGCCCTTACTGGGGTTTTCTGAAGAATTGGAAATAGCTTGTAAAAGCTGCTATACCCTTACATAAAATACATGGATATAAATTTACAGTCGCCTTGCAAAAATTTTAGGAAAATTTACCAGCCCAGCCACAAAATATATTCACCAGTTTATCCATGTTGATGAGGAAATATCTCACTGAAGATATTTTTTAAACTTGGCATTCAGTAAAATTGCTTGCCCCAAGCTAGTAGAGCAAATCTAATTAACAAGGCCGATAGTGAGCTATTTGCAAAAAGAAAAGGAGGACTTGCGGCACTATAGAGACTAACAAAAAGTGAGCTATTTGCACTTCTGGGATTCTGTGGATTTACTAAAATTTTAAATGTTAGAAAGCCATTGTCCTCCTTTTTAACTTGTTTTATTTACCCAGGAAAATGTAATCTGTCTAGTGAAAAGGAGTGAATTATAAGGCAGTGTGATAAATACATGTAATTTAATATGGGAAGTACTTCTCCCCCTTTTTAAAGCACACTAAATGATTTTGAAAATCAGATGGGGCATGTCTTCATTGGGGAAATTTTATGGAAAAAACAAAAAAAAAAACTACTGGTTTTCACAGAGATCCCTAGTGTAGAGAAGGGACCAGCCATAGGAACTTTGTCAGAACTGATGAGAAGTTGCCATAGTGTAACAAAGGCTTAAAGCATCTCTCATGAGTAATTCTAAAGCACCCAGAACCATGTATTTAGGAGCAAGTAGGTCCCAATGGGAGAGAGGATACAGCTCCTGAGTTATATTACTGTTGACTGGTATGATCTGCAATGGTTAGGTAGTGGATACAAAAAATGATACTGATTCATTTGAGTAGCCTCAAGTTACAATTTTAAAAATGCTCTGGCATCTGCAGAATGGAATTTGGTAGCTACTTTGCTAAGCCTGTCCAGCTTAGTATTTCCAGCTCTTTATAGATGGGAGAAGGCACTGAGTACATAAACTTATCAGTGATCCTTATTACAGTCATCTGAGAACAAGGTGTTTAGTAACATACTGTAGTTTCTATGCAAGTCATCTGCCATAAAACATAGAGTGAATCAGAACAAGGTTCATAGTTCCTTCTTTGTTCCTTTGTTAATCATTGGCTAGTGGGAGGCGTCTTTAGAATTTGCTAATGCATTCTTTTTGGATAAGGATGACGCACAGATTGTCCTAATAAGGACTTAGTTTGAGAAAGGAGCCGCCTTCTTTGAGAAGATAGGAGCAAGTCATAGGGCGGGCAGTTTCTTTTTTAACTGAGGGATGACACAAGCACAAGTCATTTCCTTATTAATCGGTTCAAACCAGTTCTTACAGGAACTGCTGATGATAAATGTGGGACTTCTGAGAAGTCATTCATTTTATTCTCAGCCGTGCATCGTTGCACAGGCTTAGCTGAGCTTCTCCCTGGCTTTGAGGAAGTAGTGGAGCATATAGCTCTCTGTGTTACCTCTGAGTTCATTATCAATCTGCTGTGAAATCCTTTTCTTTTCTTTTTTTTTTACTCTTTTTTTTCTTTTTGAGAGTCTGGGGGACCCACTTGTCCCTCCTCTTCAGATGAACTGATAACACACACTGTATTGTTTGGGTCTCCCAGTTATCCCATGCGGGAGTGATGCCTTCTGATCTATGGCTCTGATCTGAACTTTGTTCCTTTTGAGCCAAAGTGGTAAGTTTAAAAAATAAATAAATTGTTTTCTTGTTTTTTTCTCCTCAAATTTTGTCTTGTTCTCTGGAATGAAATTTGCACCAGTGCTGTCCCAAGTATAGGTCCCTCTCTTCAGAAGCCGTTCCAAGAGTACTTGGAAGCTCAGCGAATTAAACTTCACCACAAGTCTGACAATGGAGTGCCACAGGTAAGAATTCCACCCACTACCTCTTTTCCTTTCTTCTTCTTTGCTACTCCTTGACTCCTTACCCATTGTATCTGATTAAGTTTTGATTCTAGCTTTTAAAGACCTGGAAATCTCAAAGGAGATAAGGCTTTGAATCGATTTTAAAAACAAGCTGAGAAGTTCAGAGGAAAAACTGTATTTGTACTACATACAACTGGGTTAGACATTCTATCCATTTGGGAGTAAGCTAGGCAGCTAAGCAAAGCTGGTGGTTTGTCCTGACTTTCTATTCATTTCTTTTGGTACAAGAGGCAAGCTATTAAAGACAGGGAAAAGTTCACTTTATATGTACAATTATGTGTAAAGAATTCCCCACACCATCAAATATTACTAAAGTATATAGGATTTGAATTTCCTTTTCTTGTTAGCTCCTTTACCCTACTCTCCCCCTCTCCCCCCACACACACAAAAATAACCAACCAACCAAAACACATCTTGATGGGCAAACAGAAAATATTAAGAAAATGCAGTGTTTAAGTAGGGGCCTTTTCATGCAAAAATCTTTAAATATATGTCCCACGGGTTTAGATATAGAAGGATTAATTAACACCTAAATTTTAGACGTGATATTTTTAGGACAATTAAGATATTGATATACACAAATTATTAACCTCACATTTTAAGTCCTAAACCCTTTGTTTCTATAAACATTTGCTTTCCTAGTTCTTAACAGAAAAAGGGGGGGTAGTTAAGGGAAGATCAGTCTGGAATAACTAGGCGGAAGCATGTTCTGCCCTTTGAAGTAATCTCTGTGCAGTGCATTGCTGCCCTCCTTTGACTGAAATAGAAAGTAGAAAAAAGCACAGGACTGGAGAACACTGCAGAAGCATGATTTTTTAGTCCATCACATTAACTTCCAGCTACACAACTTGAAATTGATACTCATTGGAAGCTAACATGCTGTAGGCAGTTCAGTAAAAACTGACTGTTAACCAGCGACCGTATTGTACCTTCTGGAAATGACTAGGAATCACATCAGGCTTTCCTAATCCTGAACTTTGGCAGCACCTTTCATGCTGGCTTTAAAAGACCGAAGTTAGCTTTACATAGAAGCCTGCAGGGATCCTGTTAGTTTGTGCTTATTCCTGGTGTAGTTTGATAAATGATACAGAATCCTGAGATGATTAGATCCTTTCCCTTCAGCTAGGAGGAGGAGGAGAATTCTTTTGTATTCTGCTAATCTGAATTTTTTCCCTTGTTCTGTTTTTTGTTTTTGCAGGGGGAGAACTGGTTATCATGGATGTTTGAAAAACTTGTGATCGTCATGGTTTGCTATTTCATCTTGTCTATAATAAACTCCATGGCCCAAAGCTATGCCAAACGAGTGCAACAGAAGACGTACTCTGAGGAAAAGACAAAATAAGCTGGGTAAAACCCATTGAAATGGGCTTTAGCAGACATGCAAGTGACAGGTCTTATTATATGTTAAAAATTGGCATTATTCAAAACAGGGAAAGGCTTTTTAAAATCATCAGTTTTCCAGCTGTAACAAATTTTTAATTATTTTCTTTTGAAAGTAATTCACTATTAGAGAATAACTTTCATTTACAAATGTATGTATGTTAAGGTAATGTATATACTCTTTAATTCAGTCTGAGTTGTACTTTCTCGGGTGGCACGTGGGATGCTAAACTAATGCTGAACATAAATGCTTTCCATTCAAGTTAATTCCAAACTTGATGATTTAATACTTAGCACAACTCCAGATTTCCTGATTAACTTGCAGCCTGGCCTAAACGTAACAATTTTCTTTGGAAGGATGGCTGTCATGCCTCATAATTTCAAGGTCATTGAAATGTGTGTAAATGATAGTAGACTGGGTAACATTCTTGCATGTCCCTCATAGTAATACGAGTCCATCTGAGTTCTCAGAAATGCCGTCACATCGCACATGCTCTCAGTTGGAAAAGCCGCCCTTGCCAACTTCATAATGGTGTAAGCAGAGACGGCTGATGTCAAACTGGTGCAGTTCACTTTTTTTATTCTGTATATTTAGAATGAAGTCAAGATAAAACTTTATAAAGTCATCTTTGATCATTCCAGAATTTCTTGTCAGTCTTTTTAAGCTGTTTCTTCCTCTCAATACCTTTGGTATACTCAGTTTCTCTTTAGTTTCTTTATTAAGCCTATGTCCATTTTATTGCATGCTTACTAATCCTTCATGTACAGTAAGCACAGAAACCTTTTGTTAATTTTTCTTGAACTTCTTGCTCAGCAGAAGGAAGTAGAAAGCATGTATTTGGCACCTTGCAGTATGGTATGATTTATTCATTTAAGGAGGATCGTTGAATAACGTTACTAATTTTTTTTTATCGTATCACTCTAGGTATTTGCTTAATGTCAGGAATACAGATTTATAGCACTCTGAGTGCTGCAGGAAAAAAGTTGGGGAAGCGTAGAAATCAGAAATTAAGACAGGTTTGATGTAAAACACAGGAATGGTAATTAATAACCATAATAAAGAACATTAAAGTATACTTTAAAAATATCCCAATATTTATTCTCTTTTAAATACTGTTACAAATCAGTGTGTGTGAAATCAATTTGCATTGAAGGGGCAGACTTTTTCTTTTCTTAGTAAATAGGTGACCATTCCAATGCTACTGTGTATATACGACGCTTCTCTAATAGTCCCTGAACTAGTAGGAATGTAGTTTTGTTTTATCCATCAGAATATTAAAATAAGTTGACTTGTTTAATCAGACATTCTTAAATGGCGGTACATGGATCCTATTTAGGATAGAACTGGCTCAACACCTATTAAATTAGATGTCTGCCCATTAGAGTAGGGCAGCTCTCGAGCAAGGCGCAATAAACGTGCATTTTGTTCTGCCTGAATGTTCACTTGTGTTGCCTACCGTCGTGACATCTCCATGGCTGTACCATCCTGTCGGATAGCTTATCAGACTGATGTTGACTGTTGGATCTCATGGCAACAACAGTCGGTAGGCTGTCTGACATTTTGGTATCTTTCATCTGACCGTTTGCTCATTCATCTCAAATTCTGTTTTTCATTGAACATCAACAGGCATTTAAGTGTTTAAAGTTTAGAACACAAATGATTTTAAATGTAAATGTATCATAACTATTTTTCTTAGCACTCTGCATAAGAAACACCTTAAATTACATTGCAAGGTGTGTGAGATTTGTAATGTTTTTGCTTTTGTGTGCATCATACATAACTTTAAACAAACTGTAACAGTGTTACTTGAATGCATGAAGAGAATTTTATATAGACTTCTCTAAACATTGCTTCTGATCTAAAAATCTCAGTGGGACATTTTCAAAGGCACACAAAGGGCAGTTAGTTGCCCAGCTCCCATTGAAATCCAGTGGGTGTTGGAGGCCCCACTCCTGTTTGTGCCTGGAGATTTAACAAAGAACAAAATGTAGCAACAAATTCATATGACTAATTATACATTTATAAAATCATGACTATTTGCTATTTCACAGCAATGGTTTAAATCAGCCAAAACTTAAATTATGCAATTTTTGGTTAGTCATGTGCTATTTAACAGCTTTGAGGCATTTATTTTATTTTTCCCACAACATGTTTTGACTTAGGAAAACACTGTGGTTTGCCATTTGTCCCACTTTATTTAATAGCAGCTTTGTTTTGTTCAGATCTAACATCTGTCAAATATATGGGGCACTATTCTCATTTACACCAAAGCTGTTTTACACCACTCTGGCAGTGGAAAGGGCCCAAAAGAGTACATTTAATTTAGGCCTTCTTTAAGGTCCCTTCATGCTACCAGAGTGAGATGAAAGGATCTTGTGTAACTAAGATTCTGGCCCTAGATCTTTCTGTCTCACAGCATGTCTTCAGATGATTTCTCAGATACGCTTTTAGTTGCATCTTTTATCCAAAGTCTTTACAGTGACTCTGCCTAACAACCAAACAAATTGCAAGCTTTCCCCCACGTATATATAGATGATTCTGCAAACCACATTTATATGTGTCCGTTCTGGTGAACTGTGCTGTAATTCTGAAAGCTTTCTAAAGTTCATCTTTTATCTGATATTTAGAGAATGGACTGAACAGTATACCTGCTTCTTTCTTATCAGACACTGGATGGTGATCCTTTAATACTTAATACAAGGTAAAAAATAAAGATTTCCAAATTGATGTTTTCATGTTTGCTCAAATAAAAATAATATCTCTAAGTGGTATAGTGTTTCCTTTTGTTTCGTTTCAGCTGAATAGAGTCCATTGTTTTATATTTAGCCTTTTCATGTTATCCTGTAAGTATGTGCTGTCCCAACACAGACATTCAGTGATAAACATGATTCAAGAACATACTTCTCAACTGCAATTGACAAATTCAAAGGAAATTCCAAAGCCTTTAACACTGTACGTGGAAATGGGGTTTGGTTTTCCAAAAAGCAAAAGATTCCCATTGTTTCTATGGTTTTCAAATGACACGGATGGAGAAAATTATCCATTTAGAGCTTATCTGAATTACATTTAATGAAGAAATACTGGTAGGTAATTTCTTAGTTGTCAGACACGTATGTGCTTTGTTACAGTACTAACGGGGTACTGTGTGCATATACTATTATCCTTCTTGCAGTGACCGGTGAAGTTTCCTTATTTTCCCTGCACTCTCATTGTTCTTATGTGCCTTGAGACTTATTTTTAATGCAATATTTTCCTTGTACCTTTGAGGAACATACAGAAATGAGCTATTAGCAGCCCTAGCAGTGGCAATTAATGTTTTGGTTTAACTGGACTTTGAAAGGGAAAACTGCAAGATGAAACGGTTACCAATCACAAGTGTAAAACGTGGCTAAATCACTAAATAACAGAGCAATTAGTCGACCTAATTATTATCAAGTCAGGTAGATCAGAGCTGAAATCGCAGAAAGGGTTTCAACAGATCCTCTTCTTTGATCCTGTAGGCCATGCCAAATGTCTAGACTGGCCGAGAGGATCTCAAAGAAAACCATCTGTGATAGGAATTTTCCCCATGATAGGTAGAGTGACCATCTGTCCTGTTTTTAAAGGGACAGTCCCATTTTTGGGGACTTTTTCTTATATAGGCGCCTATGACCTCCCCACCCCTCTGCCCCATTTTTTCACAGTTGCTATCTGGTAACCCTAATTATAGGCAAGTTCTGTACTTCCCCCTTCACCCATAAAAATAGCTGTGGAAATTGCCTGTTCCCTGTCTCACTGACTGTAGCTCTGAACCACCTGTCTTGATATGTTGCACTGTTCCTTGTTGGAATTATCATTAAAATGGCTGCCCTAGGGATTATGCAGCTGCCTAGTTCATCTTAATGGACATGTTTAACCAACATCAGATGTTCCTGAATATTATTCTATAATATCATTTCTTAATGTCCATATTGGACCTAATTTTTAAATTGGTCTCAGTCCAGCCTGAGTCTCTTTGCAAGTATAATTCATTGCAGGCACAAATAGCAGTTAGCCATCTCCCTGATTAACAGGCACAATTGAAAGTATAAATACTTGTGTCTATAATTGACTACAGGTGCAAAAATAAAGGACGGTGATTATGTGTATTCCTCAGAGGCAAACAATAAAAATTGCAGGTTTCCTTGAAGCACAGAGTTAAAACTACCTTTTAATAGCAGCAATATGCTAAAAGGTTGAAATTATTCATATGCATGAGAGTAACTACTCCCAGCTCCCACAGGGATGCAGTAATAAGCAGTGTGTGAAAAGTGAAAGAGAACAATAAACCAGTGTTACCTGGTAGGTTCTGATCCTCCTCACTGACAACAGACTAGCCTAGGTGGTAAGGGTTTTAATTGCCGGGACTTTGGTGGGGGGTTCCTGATAGCTTCTTCAGTAAGTTTTGAATGGGATAAACACTTTCCCTGTGATAAGACATGCTAGCACATTCAGAACCATATAACAGGCAAAATTTGCATATGTTCTTGCAGGCTCATTTTAAATGTGATTATGCAAAATGTATTTGAGCCTGCTGCAGTACTCTCTTCTAATGGAAGAGCTGGAGGGCACAGCATTCCAACAACGCATTTCTTCCTCTTTCACCCACTTCACTTTTTACTGTACCACACGGTTGGTGAAAATGCCCATGAAAAAGAGCTTTATTAAAGGCAACAAAACAATGCGTTTTGCTAGACTTGTTTTGGGGGATGAAGGAAGAGGATGTAATGTAGGTTGGAGTTTTCAAAGGAGCCTACGGGAGTTAGCTGCCCAACTGCCGACCTAATATTTAGGATGCTGCCCAAACACACAAACTGCTTAATCAAATCTACAGTCATAAAGTGGGTCTAGCTTCATCCTCGTGCTTGTATTGTATTTCAGGTACCAATGCATGTAGTATGAAGTCAAGAGTCTGGAATAGTCTTATTGCTACATAGTCAGCAAAATGCTATTGTGTGCATTTATCTGTGTTCATTCAGACTAAACAGGCTTTTCAGCTGTGAAGTCATTCAGCCCGCTCACTGTTCGTGCTGTGCAGCTGGAGAACTGTTGAAAAAAGAAAGCGCTCCGAAGTTTTAATGCTCTAAAATTAATCATAACATGTAAATAGATTTTTTTATATGGAGTTAATTGGGCTGAACTTTATTTTAGTCTGTTTTAAGCTAATGTTGGTCTTTACTACGCATGATTCTTATCATTTACTGAATGACTAAGAGAACCTTGAACATGTTAATGTGAAAACCAAAGGTGAGTGTTCTCTAAACATCACTTAACAAGTTGTTTATATTTAATATCTTGTGTATTACAAATGAATCAGCATTTCATGGGAGCGACACTCTGGTTTAATTGGTTTCAGAGTAGCAGCCATGTTAGTCTGTATCCGCAAAAAGAAAAGGAGGACTTGTGGCACCTTAGAGACTAACCAGTTTATTTGAGCATAAGCTTTTGTGAGCTACAGCTCACTTCATCAGATGCATCGGAGCTGTAGCTCACGAAAGCTTATGCTCAAATAAATTGGTTAGTCTCTAAGGTGCCACACGTCCTCCTTTTCTTTTTTCTGGTTTAATTGTTGTTCCTGTAACTTCCTGAGAAATCTGAATTAGGTTGCCCAAGCAGTTCTTAACGAGCATGTTACCTGCCATTTCCAACTGAAAGGAAAGAGGCAGATCTTGTCATTTCAGTGTGTTGTTCCCTGTTTTGATAAACTCGCCTACAGCTGCGCCCTTCTCATAATGGCCCCAAAACCTGCCCTCAGTGTATGCAGGACATGTTAGTTCCGATCTTTGGGCCAGTGGTATTGAGGTGTTTCACCTAAACAGTCATACTAAAAATCCCCCTGTTAGTTAAACCATTTGTCCCCTTCCCTTTGCCTTGACAAAGTGTGTTGCTTTTAGACACTGTTACTGCCTGGAGCTTTATACCAGTCTGTAAACTGCCTTATTTAGAAAGAGGAAGTAACTGTGGATCTAAGCAAAGTTTTTTGAGATCCCAGTTATATAAACACTTTTTGGTGACGATTTGTCTGTTAGATTGGTTTTAAGACAGCCTAGAAGCCTGTGCTGTAAGCAGCCCTATACTGTAGATGACCATCTGTCAAATTGCCAGGGGCCTTGCTGCTCTACGGTGATAGGGACTTAAGTGCTTTTCCCAAGCTCTGGCCCTGGGCTGTCCCAGGACTCCTTGCCATGTTCTGTGTAGGCCCCTGCCTCCACTGTGGAATGGGGTAACTACTAATTATGCTATTGCCTCTTCAGGTGTCTTCCCTGAGCAGTTAATTGGGCTTCAGCAATTGCTCTAGAGAATAAGTGACAATAGTCAAATTCTTGCAAATGTGGACAACGTAATAGGTGTATCTGAGCAGCCCTGATCCTATGGAGGTGTCTGTATAGAATTAGCATTTCCCACAGTCAGTAATCAAAACCTGCCCACTCACATGGTATTACAAACAAAACAACTAGGGCTGGAAAAAGGTTACTAGATCACCTACTACATTTCCCCTATTAATGCTGCATTGCCCAAATAACCTCCCCCCAGTGAAATGCTACCCTAGAACTAACCAGTACAGCTATGGCGCCGTGCTGGGAACCTGGGTTATATTCCCATCTCTGCCACCGACTCTGACCTGAGTTAAGTTGCTCTCTCTGTGCCAAAAACCATTCCATCTGTCATTCTCAGCCTTTCCCTTCCTCTGGGTCCTATTACTGAAGATATTTGCATAAAAACAGCCTCTTGGTTTCAGAGGCTTGTTTCCTGCTGCTTATTCCTCATCTAAGTCCTACTGACCTCTGCTTGCGACATCACCACTGGTTGCTATGGAACTTATTTTATATGTTGCATAAGAGGGACTCCAGGTGGGGAAATGAGCACCAGGAAGATGAATTCTAAAGAAATCCAGAGCCAGTTTATTACTCGGAGCTTCACCTAAAAAGGTCAATGGGGGCGGGGTGGGGGAGAAAGGGGGGGCGCTTATCTAAACAGCCTTGCTTAGAATCAGCATTCGTTGGCGCAGCAGGTGATCTTTAATCTGGTACCTCCCTTAAGCATTTTATATAGGGCTGAACTGCCTGTGTAATTACCGTATATACACACACCACATTGACTATTGACCAACAGAGTTGCTGTGCTCGGGAGTTAGAAGACGGCGACTATTGCCCACAAATGGCTGCAGCATTTTTAAGGGAAACCATAGTGTGAAAATTTCCCAGGCCCTTTTATAGAGGCCTACTTTAGTTCTGGTTCTGGGAAGGGTGTTAGCCGCAGGTGAAGCTTCAAGAGCGGCTACATGAAAACTGGAATTGCTTAGCTTTCAGTCATTGTTCAGTGGGCCAAATCCCTGCAGTTCATACTTGAGCAAAACTCTCAGTGACCTTCAGTGGCAGTTTTGCCTGGAGTAAGGACTTCAGGATTTGACTCAAGATTGATAAAAGCCCCTGGCTTTCTTGGTGGAGGGAGATCTTACAATCTGTATCTCAGCACTTATTTTTGTTGTGCAGAAGTCCATAATGCTTTGCACTTGCCAGGTGTTTGCTCAGTAATGACCAAGTGCTCTGCAAAGGTGAGTATTACTCCCTGCTTTACAAATGGGGAAATTAAGACACAATGAGGGTCAATGAGTTGTCCAACTTTATATACCAGTAACAGGTCTACAACCTGGGCTTCCCAAGTCACAGTCTTGTGCTGCTTCTCTTCTTTCCCGCTCCCCCCCAATCATTTCTTTCGGTAAGATGGTGATAGAGATACTGACCTC